GAAAGAGAGAGAGAGAAGGGAAGAATAACGAGAGCCTCGCATAGCTCAGACCAGTTCGGAGAGAGAGGGAGAGGAAAGGGAAGAATTACGGGAGCTTCGCATAGCTCAAACCAGTTCAAAGAGAGAAAAGAAAGGAATAGAACAATGGGAGCTTCGCATAGCTCAAACTAATTCAAAGAGAGAGGAAGAAAAGGGATGAACAACGGGAGCTTCGCATAGCTCAGATCAACTCAAGACAAAGAGAAAAAAAGAAGAATAGATTAAGCGTGTCATGGAGCAGAGAAAAGAATAAAAATCTGAAATTTATAATTGATTGATAATTAATGAGTGTAGAATTCACTGTTGATTAGCAGGGGCAGTTATCTCAAAAAAACAAGTCTCGACTTCTCTTCAGAAAGTTGGGATCTTCGCCCTGAGTCGAACGATTGAAAGGATGGAAGTAACACTAATAAAATTACTTAATAATACTGCCGCGGTTCGGAAGCAGCCCTATTTGTATGGAATGATCAGTCTGAATCTTGGGGATGATCAGGGTCTGAATCTTGAGAGGCAAGGGCGGTGGCAGGAACTCTGAGATGTGTGTGTGTGTGTGTGTGTGTGCGCGCGCGCGCGCGTGTGTGAGGGTAGGATGTTTACATTAGATATTTTCTTCGCCTCTGCTTGGCACGTGCCAACGTGACAGTATTCAGACTTGCGACAGCTCTAACTCGGGATTAATAATAATAATAATTTTTTGCATATTTTATTTAAGATCCTTTTAAATTTCTTTTAAAATTAAGCGTATCATTATAATAGTCAAAGCGGTTGCAAATCTTTCTCTTGTTTCTTGAAATTCAATATAATTCTGTATCTTATCAATGAAAGAAGAAATCAATATTCTTATATAAAGAAATTATATTATTCGGTTTTTTGAAAGAAAAGAATCGTGGAGTCTCTTACGTCCACTGGACGTAAGAGAAGTATATCCTCAATATATCCCAGGTAACAAGATGTCAACAAAATTACGGTTGCGTTCCGATGTTGATTGCTAATACTGAAAATCTATAATATACGTAACATCCCTTACGGAAAATAAATGGAAAAAAATAAAAAAATGAAAAAAAATAAGAGAAATTGATGAAACATTCTTTATCTCCTATCTGCATGTTTCTAAAACCGGTCCACCCATCCACTTGGAGATCTTGCTCGATGTCGCTTAACCTCTGTATTGGGATGAAACCTGCTACTGAAATGATAATATAAGTAAATGCAGAATCCTGATATAAAATATGATAGATCGGTTAATGAATGTTACTGTTGTATAAATAGCCTCAATTTTAAAATCTCGATTGCATATGTAATTCTTGTAGATAATTTAATATAGAGCCATTACATATAGAGCCATGAACCTATGTTATGTGTATGTTATATATGTGTATGTTAACGAGAATTATTTTTTTTATGACAATTATTTATAAATTGTTGTATGTATTTTATTTACTTGTTTATGAATTTGTTAATAATTGTATTAAATATGGAAAATATTTTTCTTATTTATATATTATAATTAATTAGGAAAGATAGTAATTAATAACGTTATTTTATTAAAAATGACATAAAAATAACGATTAAATGACAATATATTTATAACAATAATATTTCGTGACAAATGTTACGTTTATTTTACGTCATTTTTTAGTACACTGACGTCGAATGACGAAAAATGACCTTAAATCATCGTCATAATGATATCATCTTACTACTTGAGATACCAGTATATTCCAAAATGTCTTCAATATATTCGCATTATATCTGGAGTATATCTGAGATATTTTGAGTAAATTCAATATTATCTCAGTAAACATAATCAATATATATAGCAAAGTTTATTTGCTATAGTCTGAATATATCCTGAAAATATACAACAAATGATATTCTACACAGATTTTATACGAATAATCTTAGTATATTCGGTATGATCACAGTGTTTAATATAAATACAGAATATTCGTATGATATCATGTGCTATTAGGGAACCCTTATATGAAAATACTAAAATTAGTAAAAAAACTGAACATCACGAGATTATCTTTTCTTACAATTCAGTAAACAGTTCGGCTGAAATTCGGATGAAATTATTAAATTCAATAATTTCCGTCCAAGTTTCCGTCAAATGGAGAAATGTGAAAAAGTGTGGTGAGCATAAAACAGTGCAATTAACGTTAATACCCCAACATAAAATAACTATAGAAAAAGGCTTTCGTGCTCTACAAAAAGCATTGAACTTTCATAAAATTACTTACAACAAACAATGTCAATGTGGTGGCTGCTCTGTTTTAACAAAAAATTAATTACCACATTTTCATAGAATTAGATATCAGAGAAAATTTTCAATCTACTTCAAAATCTTGTAAATTAAAAGATTTACCAATGGTCCCTAATACCACGCGTACGTTCTAAATATGTTCTGAGAAGATCGCAATGCGTATATCATCTCAGAATATTCTCATACGTACTTCGATCGACTAAGTACGTTCCTATGTCCGGAGTAATATCTTCCATGGAATTTCGCTGCGAATATTCGCAGCGAATGATGACAGTATTAAGAAAGGATGAAAACGGGAAATTTTCAGTAGATTATGGTTGCGTTTCGATATTGATTGCTAGTACTAAAAATCTATAATATACGTGACACCCCTTACGGAAAATAAGTGAAAAAAATGAAAAAGTTAAAAAAAATAAGAGAAAGTGATAAAACATCTCTTATCTTGATATCATCGCATGTTTCTAAAATGACCATCCATCCAACTTGGGATCCTGACTCGAGGCTGTTTCACCTGTATATTGGGATGAAACTTGCTACTGAAATGATGATATAAGTGAATACAGAATTTTGGCATAAGATATAATAGATAATATGGTTAATGAATGTTACTATATTGTCGTATAAACAGTCTCAATTTTAAAATCTCGATTGCATATGTAATTCGTGTAGATAATTTATTATATAAAACCGTGAATATATTATGTTTAATGAGAATCATTTTTCTTATAAAAATTGTTTATAAATTGTTATATATATTTTGTTTACTTGTTTATAAATTTGTTAATAATTGTATTGATTATGCGAAATATTTTTCTTATTTATATATAATAGTTAATTAGTTAATTAAAGAAAGATAGTAATTAATAATGTTATTTCATTATTTATTTATTAAAAAATGGCTTAAAAGTAACGATTAAATGACGAGATATTTATGATAATAATATATCGTGACAAATGTTATGTCTATAGAATATACGCGCGTGATAGAAAGGCGTATGTGTCATTTCCTCTGAATATAACCTAAGAATGTACGCATGCAATGAAAAAACGTATGTACCGCTGCGTAAATCCTGAGAATATACGCGCGCGAAAGAAAACGGAATGATACTGTCAGTAATGTTCTAGCGTGCATCTTAGTACGTTACAGATAATCACAGTACAAGCAGTACGAAAATGGGATGATTCCATTCTCAGTATGTCGCGTGCTGTTACTAGGCTAGGGATACTAATGTTAGCAAAACAATATAAGTATGAGTATTTTCCGCATTAAATTACATATTTTTTTAAACAACTTAGGCAACATTATTTTAATTATTTTAATTTTTTATTTTAATTTCAGGTTGGTCGTTGTTGCAGCATATTTCGGTCACTTTATTGCTTATTGTAGACAACTTTCAGAATTATGGGAGCAATATAATGATTTAAATACTAAAATAAATTCTTGTATACAAAATGAGACAATTAATTCTATGCTACGATTTATATACTTCATGAAGATAACTAAATATGGTATGTATAAGTAATATGTTAATTATAATAGAAACACATGCTTTTAAAATAAATTTGCAAAAGAGCAATAAGATTTACACCCTCCCAAAACATTTAAAATTGTAACGGAGCACCTGAAAGCTCCGTTACAAGCGCGCGCTATGCGGCCACGTCATCCGGGGCCATCCGAACATCTTCGACTGCGACCGAACAATACCACGCGCCGATTGCGTGACAGATCAGCTGATCATTAAACAATTTTTAACAAATCGTGTGTTGATGCATCAACACAAAATAGGTATATAAACCCTGCGATTTTTGCGGAGAAAATCAGACCTGTCCGATCATCCGACTCGTCCGCTTCCAAAATTATCGATCCGATCCGTACAACGCGAGAATCTTCTCGCACCGAATACCGAGCGTTCTCAGTATTCTCGTTTCCTTCTCATCCGGAAAGTCGGAGCGTTCTCGGACTTTTTTTCTACGGAATATCGGACGCTCGCGATATTCTCGTATTCCTGCCCATCCAAAAGTCGGAGTGTTCTCGGACTTTACTTCTGCAGGATACCGGGCGCTCGCGGTATCCTCGTCTCCTCTCCCATGAAGAGTCGGAGTGTTCTCGGACTTTTCTTTCGATATACGCGAAAATACGTGTCGCGAAAGTGTCTACGGTTATTTAGCAATCCGTGCGTCCGAATGCTCAGCAACACGCGGGCCCGGTTGCCTAGTAACGCGCTGCGTATCCGACTCATGCTATCCCGCGAATATACCATCGCATTCACTGCTCGACCGCGCTGCAAAAATCTCAAATACAGCGAATACTATCAAAGCCTACTCGAACAACGTTACGCTGTGAGAATCAAGAACATCATTTTGTATCCACTAAACTGCCAACTTTTGTTTAAAATAAATCTAATTATTTTATTGTAAATTAAACCCAGGCGTCTGCAAATTCTTTTCCGAACCCGGCATCCGACGAGCATTTCCGAGCTCCCAAACTATGTCCTCGTATTCGTACTGTACATTATCCGACCGTGCAGGAACGTACCGTTACAAAATATTTAAAATATTTATTTATTTTTGAAACCATTTACAACATTTAAATTATTAAATTTATATTATTTTATGTTTATATTATTATTAAAATATTTATTAATATACTGGATAAGGGATAAGCATTTAAATGTAAATATATTCCAAACTCTTCTAATCTAAATTAAAATAATACAATTATTAAATATAATTATTAAAATGCATGTTTTATTACCGTTATTTTGTTCTTGTATCATTGCATACCGTATATATAATATTCATATAATAATTCTTCCACCAGATTGAAATTTGAATTACTAGATGAAATTATTTCTATCACGCTTTCCTGAAATCAATTAACTTACATGATTGAGATAGCTGAAGATATGAAAGAGAGAATATTGAATAATGTTTACTATTGGAAAAATCAAGGAAACGTTGAAAAAGAGATTTTTTTCTTATTTGTTTTTTTATTTTAGAAGCGCTAAATTTTTTATTTTACAAATATACAGGGTATTCTATTTTAACTTTTACATCAAAAGTTGTTCGATCTGAAGGGGGACAAATAATAGTAAAATTAATTTTTGAAAAAAAATTAATTTTTCAAGGTTATATGAAAAGTATCATCTTTTGTTTAAATAAAATTACATGATTTTTGTACATAATATGATTTTCTCTAATTATTTTACATATAAAAGTATTAGATTAAAGTTATTGAAAAAAAAAAATATATATATATATATATATATATATAAAATATATATATATAAAATATATATATATATATATATATATGTATTATATATATAAAGTCTACTAAAAGAATCATTTTTTCTAAATTGATAAATACATTAATTTTATTTACGTATCTTTAATTTTATAAACGTGTACTACAATTGTCGTTGATTATTTAAAAAACAATTATCACTGCTCAATATGTTGTTGCGAGGCAACCTAAATAATGCCCGATCTCATAACATCGTTGATTAGCCTGAATCCCAAGAATTAACCCGAGAATTATTAATTAAGTAATTAAAATGCGAAACTAAAATAATAAGAAATGCGTGCCCGCGCCGATTGCAACCGATGTGCAATTCGACAAGGACGCTGACTCTGACAACACGTATTGAAACGTTGACCAAACAACATTTCGACATGAGGACACGCCGAGGCCGCGTAACAACGGACCAATAAAAAAGCAACGAGAATAATCAGGCAGCTCAGCTCAAAGGCTCAGACGCATAAGTGATGACGCGTAGACACTAGAGAAGTGTGATAGTGTATGACAGTTGTGAGTGACTCGGAAATATTGAACACCCAAGTCGATTAAATAAAGTATTTTATTCGAATATCGAAGTGCAGTTGTGACCTCTTTCCCCTCGTCCGACACGCACTCCTGGAGTTGTGCCCGGAGCGGCACAACAATGTTAAATAACGTGCATATATGTATATACAAGCATTTAAGAATATACAATATATTTATTCAACAAATACGTTTCTAAATACAATTTAAAATATTTTAGTTAAATTCGGCAAAGTGTATATAACCAAGCTTTGTTATAATATTTCTAGAATAATAAACATACAGTTTTGATAATGCAATCCGTAACTTTCCTTTGTATTAAAATCCTACATTATGTTGTTAAAAAAATTAAATTTTTAGAGTAGAATTCATTTCTATGCGCATGGGAAACATATTTCGAGTGGATATTTGTTATAGTTTGAGTTCCTCCTCTTATCTCCCCTTTTTAAAGACAGGAAAGTTTATTTCTACTGCGTCTAAGATTGCATTCCACTCTCTTAATGCTCGCGAAGTAAGCACATCAAAAGGATCGATCAACCTATCGGGATAAAAAGACAACAATACTTCGATAGATGCGAATATAAACGTAACATGCCTTTTTTTTTAGAAAGGATGTGGCTAATTTTTAATAAATAAATAAAAATATATATTTCTATTATACATACAACACTATTGTATATATTACTTTTTATTGCTATAATATAAAACAACATATTGAAAGCTCGTCGAAATCGAAGGGAGATCTTGGGACTTGGGACCTTTCTGTAATTAAAAGTATAGGTGGCTATCTTACGTCATTAGACAATTGTTAATTATCGGCGGACATTACATTCGGGATATTAGAGAAATTGCCGATAGAATGCGCCTCAGTCCCGGTTTACAATAGGTGATTAAACTTTGAGTCATAAGAAATTGATCATAGTCGATATTCTCTTATTCTTCCACCATGATTCATCCATTTCTGGCTCAAGGCTTAAATCACTTATTGTAAACCGGGACTGACGAGCAATATCTGTTACAGCAATATCTGCATTATAGTGCAGTATAGTGCAGATAATCTTATTTATTATATTATTTTAAGGACCAAATTGCAAAATCCGGCTCTGTAATAGGTTTCGCGACTTCGTAAAACATGGATCAAGAAAATGGATCAAGACTTTTGGCAAAATATTAGTACTCGAGAAAATATTATTACAAAATAAAATGTGATAGAATACGGATTTTGTAGTTGCACCGCATAAATGAGGTGTAAATGAGTAAGCTTGTTGTTCCTGCTGACTCTTACATATTTAATTAATTATTTTAATAATTCACAAAACTTTTTAATGGCACTTCATAACTCTATAACGACACCCGACTCACCCCCCTCAATTACTAACAATTTAATATTATTTAATATTAACAATGTTAGATGTCCCCGACCGATCAACCGCCGGGGCGCCGACACGGCGATCCTTCCGCGATCCCACCGTCGCGAAAAGCCCGTCGAACAGCGGACGCGGCAAATCGGTGATCACGCGGCTTCACGTGCACGCCGCGTGAAACAATAGACACACGGTAAGGCCACCACCGCCGGCCCCGCTACCGACCGCGCCACCGAACATCCTCGCGGAATTCCCGAGCGCGTTCGGCGAATTATCGCGGGGATTCCGACAAAGACATCCCCCGGAACTACCCCGACCCGAGTCCGGCCGACCCGTTCCCGACGACTCCCGAACGATGGCCGGCTCGGGTATATTAAGCGAGTCCGGGAGATAAACGAGACCTATCTCGGCGAGACAGTAACCAGTCCGACACTGCTCTCGATATTCCGAATCCTCTCCAGAAAAAGCGATCTAGGGTGCTACCTATCGTGCCAGGAGCTTCTGACCGATCGCTCCTCTAAATCCACCAGCGCACAAGTATTCACAGGTTGAGGAGCTTCTCAACCTGGGCTCCACAAAGAAAGCCCTTGTGCACACATTCCTCTGACGATCGAGAAGCAGGGAGCTTCCTGCATTCGAACCGTCATAGCCTTACACACAGCTGATCCGTCATAGCACTACACACAGCTGATCCGTCAAAACAAGATGGCCGAAATCCCCGCGCACCGTCGCGCCCGCGCCGCGCCTATCGAGGAACGCGACGAAATTCGGAGAACCGACCGCGAGCAAACGATTGTATATAATACGTAGAAACCGCGCGTCTTTTCGCCGTACCAACGGCGAAATACCTGTAAATACTGTACATATAAAAACAGCCAGTCGGCATTGTAAATATAGATCTAGACATACCAAGAGACACGATATTTTATTTCTCGTACCGAATCCTGACCAAAAACCGATCGACGCTATCCTGCAGAACCGATCGACGCGGAGATAGAGACGTTTTAACTCTTTATGCAAAATATAAACAATTCCATACACGAGCATTGTCTAATTTATCTTTGATTAATTACTCGGCTAAGTACATCGTATAAAGTAAGTACATTGTCTAATTTATCTTTGATTAATAACTCGACTAAGTACATGGTATAAAAATGATTAATTAATTATAATTAACTGAAAGATTCACAAACTTTTTCAATTGCACTTCAAAACTCTTCATACAAAATACAAATGATCTAAAATAATAATTCTTTAAATCATTTATACTTCTCAGATTAAGTTCAGTACGAATAATTTTAAGTTTAAGTTTAAGTTTTTTGAGTTTAAGTTTTTTTATGTGCCACAGCCTAAAAAATTACAGGTAAAGCAGTTGGATGCTCAATGAAAAACACAGGCAATAGGAACAGAGAATAACACAGGCAACAAATTTTAACCTATGGGAAACCGTATATCAATGTACAATGAAAAACACATTTCCATTAAACAAAGCAAAGCACTGTGTCAGGAACAGGCAATAAGAAACAGAAATCCAACGCGTCGAAAATTTTGTTCCTATTCTCTGTTTCTATTGTCTGTATTGTCACGTCTTGCGCGGCACGGTTTCCTAGGGATTTTGAGCTGAAAATGGCGGTTCATTTCCTAAATCAAATTTACTCTACTCTCACAATTTCTATATCGACTGAATTCACCGGAACGCATTCGCGATGAGAACTCGACTTTACTCGATCCCTCGTATCTCAGTCGAGAGACGAGCGTCGCTCTCTCTTGATCCCATTGAAAAAAAGGAACTTTCTTTCGTATATATTGTTCTTCTTTAAACCAAACTTGATTTTACTAAATTTCTTTATGAAGTAGAGTAAATATTTTAATAAAATTCTTTTAAAGGTCAAAATGCCGAAAATCAGATTTACTTTGCTTAATGACTTTCTTAACAAATTGCAAAACTGTTTTCATAAAAATTTATTTGCTATTAATTTCTTAATATCAAAATTATCGCCAAGAATTTATCTTTAACCGTTATAATCGAAAGTAACTTACCTTCAGATATCCAGTTTGAAGAAGGTTATCCACAATTTCAGTAGCGCCTAACGTTAGGGTGAATTCCCACTGAGCGCGTCACGCGTCGCGTCACGAATTGATCAATCAAAACATTCCATTTTATTGTATCATTTGCCGCGCGACTTGCACGATGCATCGGTTAGATTGTTCGACATTCTAGAGACAAAAGGATTCCCAACACGAAGGAAAAAAATGAATCTCAAATCGCGCAATTTATAATTCTACAAACACAAATTAAAAAAATAACATTTATTAAAATATTTGAATTAAAATAATATATTTGTATATGTACACACACACACACACACACACACACACACACACACACACACACACACACACACACACACACACACACACACACACACACACACACACACACACACACACACACACACACACACGCCCGCCCGTTCGCTAAGTGTCCACAATAAGTATTTAATCTTTAAGTCGTAAGAAATTGACCAATCATAGTCGATTATTCTTTTCATATTCGATTATAATTGGTCAATTTCTTACTTCTTAAAGCTTAAATCACCTATTGTGGACCGACACTAAGACGGACAGAGTGAATCTCCCTCACACACGGGGGTCACTACCAAAGAAACGCTTCTTTCCTGGCGTAGAGCACTAGTAGTAGAAGAAAAAAAAGATAGACAAAGAAAGAGAAGCTTATGTAATTAAGAGTAAAAGAAGTATAGGAATGTGCACTCACTGTTCACTTCTAACACAATATCTTTCCATATTAGTTGACCTTGCGATGTGACGACAAGTTGTGTTAGTTTTGAGATTTAAGATCCTCCGTAAGAGTAGTATTGTTGATCAAAATACGCTACCCGTTGAATAGTTTTAAAATCTTTTATTATACATGCAAAATAATAATCTTGATTCCTGGTGCAATATTTGTATCATAAATATTTCGAGACATGCAAACACATTGAGTGTACTCTATTTCACAACGTAATTGGATGCACTACATGCACACATACATGCATTAATTTAAAATGATACAGAATTCAGACAGATTATTAATAACTTATGAAAATTGCAGAATTACGACAGCAAGTTCGATGGAAGCTTATTACAACAAGAACCCAGCAGGAATCATTTGGTATTCACAAAAGTATTTTAGAGACTAAATTCTTTTATCGAAAATTCGCGTGGAGTCTAAATTCTTTTTTTCACGAAATTGACTGACGCGGAAATGCGCACTCTTTAATTACTAAATTTTGACTACTCTCTATTATAAGAGTAAAACAAAGTAATCTCAGGAATTAATTTTGATTAATTAGTAACACATTAAATATTGTAAGTGTATTGTTCTATTAAAATATACTGAATGCTCAAGCTGTATATTAAAAATATTCTAAGTATCGATCATAAAGTCATGAAATATTATAAATATCAATCATAAAATATTATAAGTATCAAGCTAAATAACGAAAATATTCTAAGTTCTACGTATGTAAAATCGTACCAGAGACTAAGTTCTTTTATTCGGATAGAGTCTAAGTTCTTCTTTACAAAAAATTATTTGTTACGGAGATGCGCACTATTCGCTCGTTAAATTTTGACTGTTCTGATATTATAAAATAATTTTAAAATGTTCTATATTTTCGTAGTTATTTGCATTAAATATATTTCTAAGTATCTGTCTCAGGAAAATATCCTAAGTTATACAAGCCGAATATCAAATAATTCTAAATTCCGATTATGGAAAACATTCTAAGTTTTTTACTCGAAATTATTTATAAAGACTAAATTCAAATGTATATAAAATCGTACCAGAGTCTAAGTTCTTTTTTCACAAAATTGACTGACGTGGAGATATGCACTATTCGCTCGTTAAATTTTGACTGCTCTGCGAGTGCTCTTTGGGTAGTCTTTTTATACTCTCGGATTTCATCAGCCTCCGAATATTCCAAGAACGAAGTGTCAAATTCTGGGAATTGTTTTGGATTTATTGTATCAACTAACATGACTCCGAATTATTTTTCTTCCAAATTATTTAGGAATCAATAAGCTAACAAGCTCGTTCGGCACATCAAAAGAAAGCAGCATCTTTGATTTGATATCAAAGAATGCCGTCTTTAAGAGAGAAATTATTTTAAATTCTTTTAAAGCAGTTCATGCATGTTTATTTATATATGTTTATGTTTAACATTTTGCAATTGTCTGTATTACACAAAGAAATATGTAGTTATTATACTTAAAATTGTCTAACGAACACAATGAGTATATTAATGTTGCATTTTTTTTATTTTAGAAATTACGGATCTTGTCATTTTAGTTTCCTAAAATCAGGAATAAATGTTCTTATTAAATTTTAATAAAAATCTTTAAATTAAATAACTTGCGTTTTGATTTCATATATTGGATTTAGTTTTTTCCGACTGCTTATATGCTTACTGCATCCGTAAGATTTCATAAGTTTCCGTAAATCTTATAGTTTATGGCGAACACGAATATAGGGTGTCCGTAAAATATATAATAGGTAGTACGTGTATTCTACAGGTGATATCTTTTTATGAAACACACATAACAAGGTATGAGTGTATTCGTGTATGTCGGTGATGGCATCATCATTTAATGCTGTTCTTCCATAAGAGCGATTTTCCTTATTCCTTATTTCTCGTTTTTCACAAGATTTTTATATTAGGTTGAAAAAGAGAGTAAATTGACATTATTACTATGGTTATTTGTTAATAAAAATTTACCGTTAATCGTTTATGACAATTGACTTATGAAATTCTTATTGTTCATGATTTATTTTATAACAATATATTTAATTGGTTGATCGCTTTTTGCAGTAAATAATTGCGAATATCTCGAGAACGGAGCGTCGGATCGAAAGTCGGATCTTTACTAGTATACTCAGGGGGAGTTGTTAAGAGAAAATTACAAAATTATAAACAAATATTATTATTATTTTTATTTCGGATTATTTCGGGATTATTTCGGAAACTATTAGTCGTATCAAGAAAATTTAAACGTGGTATTTTACAATTAACATAGGGTTATCGAATGCGTTATCATTCTAATTTGTTATCAGAGAATCGCTATCTTAAAAATTTGCAATTTTGAATTTTAAAAAAATATTTTTATGCCCTTGTTATTGTCATTAAACTGACCATTTTGCAAATTTAAATTTATCTTGTTATTCACAGGTTTTTGAGTGACGTCATCATGATCTTATTTATTTGTTTTTTCAAAAATTTTATTGTTATCCCCTTTTTCCCTGTGTGAAACATAATTTTTGTTAACAATATTTCCTTTTATCTTGTTTTATTAATGTATAAAAGTTAAATTTAAGATGAAGTCAAATTTGATTCAGGCCATCTATTGGATTCGCAAAGAACTATCTATCGGTAATATAGAAAACTTTGTGCGACATCTATAGGCCATATGATAACTAGCTCCTTAAGACATCTATCGATCATAAGATGAACTACATCCGAATTTTTAATGGTAAGAGCTTAGTATTGTTATTAAGTTATTATATTATTTTTTATTGTTATTATTACTGATTGCGGCTCTTAATAAGCCGTGTATAAACCAATTAAAGATTAAGATGAAGAAAAGTAGTTTTACTTATTATGACGATTATTTCAGTTGGAAAAGATGTGACGCTTTTAGTCAAAAATAAATATTTCAGGGCAATATAATAGAATAAAAAAAGATGGGACGTCACAGTATTTTCCATTGTGCATTGATACACAGTTTCCCATAGGTTGCCTGTATTATTCCTTGTTCCTATTACTTGCGTTTTGTGCATCCAGCATCCGACTTACCATTGTTCATGGAATTGCATTTGCTAGCGCTATTTTGGCTCCATGAATGGAGTTGGCAACGTTAGGGTTGATAGCACAGTAGCAAGCTCTCCAAACGCACCCTTAATATTATGTCGTTTTTGGAATTTTTTTTAAAAAGCCATTGATAGCTTTAAAATTTAGAAGACCGTTTAATAGAATATTAAATTGTAACTGCTTGCTTTTTCTTTCAACATTGGTTACAGGATCACAAATTCTTTTTTAGAGAAACCAATTATATAAACTTTCTTCTAATCTGCTCCGTTCAATATTTGTGCATCTTTAATATAAAAATACAAATATTGAAATATAAGTAACATAATATTAAAACATATTTGTGCACCTTTTTTTAGATATATTTTTTAGATATATTTTTTAGATATATTTCTATGAGTCAAAAATACATTTCGTTTTTTTAAATTCTTCAGAATTCTTTATAGAATTGATACGTTACTAACATTATATTGTTAGATCAAATAACTTTTTCACCATCATTTAATTGTTTTAAAATTGTCAAACAATTGTCAATACTGAATCGCATATTTTTAATATTCTAAAATAAATATGACAACTTTAAGTAATTATTTGTACATAATTATTAATACATAATTATACATAATTGTACATATTGTTACGTCCGCGGCAGTCACTATTCTCGCACTCTCGCGTCACCGCGGCAGTCACTATTCTCGCACTCTCGCGTCACCGCGGCAGTCACTATTCTCGCACTCTTTCGCGTCACCGCGCACACGCGCAATCCGAAAGAAGCTGCGCTCGGCAATGAACAACACTTTTTACAAAATACAAAGACTTTATTCAAACTTTCGAACAACTACAGAAATTCGGCGGACACACGTTCATAAATTATCGCGCCGAAACAACATAAACAAACACTCCGTTGCCCCGAAGAGCGCTTCGCTTTTCATACGGCGGCTCGACTTCACTTGCAGAAGATTCACGCGGGCATAACATTATAATAATTTATATTGATCATAGAATGCATATCTCTTTGAATATCATTGTAGGTAATAATGAAAGATTCTTAGATTTGTAAGATTTTTTACTTCTCGTTAAGCAAAAATGTATCATGCATTTTATTTTCTTTTGAGATTTAGAAATATGTTGCACAACTGAGCTCGTAGAATATGTTATGAGTGTCTCTGCTACCTAATAAAACTATGTATATATCTGCTGATGTCTGCTGAAATTCTGTGTAAGTGCCATTACTAAGAAGTAGGAAGAAAGGAGAAAGTTTCTTTTATAGAGGTCGGTTGGTTGGTTTGAACAAATTACTTCTATGAAAGTTCGACTGTATATTTAAGATGTTAATTATATGAATTTTGTTTAATAATAACTCCTTTAAGCATTGGAAAAAAGATAGTTAAGACTTTGTTTTATTTTTCATTCAGAAATATTAGTAATTTATAGGTACAAATTTTGAAACATTTTGTATAATATAAAATAAAATAAATGATTTGATTTTATTCGTAAATGCTAATTTTAATAAAAATATAAAATTATTTCTATACAACAAGAATATATTCTTTTCATTATGTAATTACATACGTATATTAAATACTTTGACTTGATAAACTTATATTATTATAAGCGCAAACATGGCACATGTAATGAATTCTTTTATTATTATTAATTATTTAAATATGTCAATCCCGATATAATTAGAAATTTAGATAAACTTAATAAAACAAGTTATTAGCAAATAAAATTTGAAATAACAAAAAGCAATAAACTATAATATTGTTTACAATAATTATAAATGAATAATTACAATTATTGTTGCGTAATTGTAGTTTTACTTGTTTAATTATTCTATTTTATATGGCTTTGCATGGCAGTGACAGATAATCAATAATAAGTGTTTAAAATATTTGAGATTTAAATATATAAATATATGTGCTTCATGAGGGAATTGCAATTAATATTTGAGCATTGCTGTACATTTTATAAATTCTCTTACATCTTATTGCATATGATCACTTTTTGTTCCTAATATTTTTGATCTCTTTATCTTCCATTTGATTGCCGTAATTCTTCTAGCTACAAATAAATATAAATGATCATAATAACATACAATATTATTATTTATTATATATACATATATAAATTAAATTTTATGTATTATTTAAACTATTTACTTCTTTTTCATCATCAACCTCATCCTCATCGTCTGAACCATGTACAGAAGCAGCAGGTGTTGTATGTCGAGAAGATGATGGAGATGGTGGTTCACTGATTGGCCTAGGATAACTAAATCGACCAACTCCACCTTCTGCATATTCCGATATCAGTTCTGGATACACAGTAGTCAATGCTTTTATTCTTGCTTGACGATAAAACTACAAAAAAAAATGTGTATTCAGAAAATATAAGATATAAAATAAATAATTAAGAAGGAATATAGTAAAAAAAAGGAAAAATATTTATCTTACGATGCCAAGATTTCGCCAATCAAGAAGATCGCTAAGACGTTCTGTACGGTTTCTCTGAATAATACGCTGACGACGACTAAGTCGAGCGAAATCGAACATATACTGAGCGAGCTGTTGAACACTTGCTTCTAAACTGATAAAACGTCTATCAACAATATAAATACCATAACTCATAGGATCTGCTATATGTTCTTGCATAAAACATCCAAATCCTGATAAATTAGTGGTAATACTAGGTATTCCCATGACTGTGCATTCAGCTGGTGTATAACCCCATGGTTCATAATATGAAGGAAAAACACCCAAATGGCATCCTCTGACAAATTCTTCATAATCGAGACCGAATAATGGATTCGTCGAAGATAAAAACTCTGGATGAAATACCATCTATAAATAGTACATACTAGTTGCAATAAGCATGTATATGACATTGATCATTGATAATTAATACATGATATTGATTACACATTAATATGATTTATATCTAGTTTTCTATATGAAGGCTCCGTTTTTTCGCTGCAGCCATATTGAATTATGACGTCAAAGCGAGAAATGACATAAAAAAAAGTTTCTTAGCGCCGTATAGTTTTATTTTTGTACTTTCCTTAAAAATTAGATATTTTATAATTCATTCTTAAAAACTTTATAAAATTAAATATTTAAAATATTTTCATATTCTTAAAACTTGTAAAAAAATACCAGAAAGTAAGATACGGTTTAACAGATCATGTAAAATTGTAAAATAATTCTTGAAATAATAGATTTGTTTTTTATTCCCGTACTAGGGCTGCACTAAAATTGAACTGAACTGAACTAGTGCAAGCCAGAACTGATGAGTGTAAGTGTATAGCTAAGGAATAGAAAACGATTTAGCAAAAAAGAAATGGTGTCCCATATTATCTGTATGGAAATTAGATTCGTCTTCTGATGAAGATAAATTACTTATTAATTATTTATTAATTACTTATTCAATAAAGTATGACTTTTGTGCTATATATTTTATGCTATATATTGAAATGTAAATATTAAAGTCTTTTAAATCTCAAGAGAAATTCTTATTTTTACATAGTTACTGTTTAAATATCACTTGTAATTGACTGTAAATACTAAATTGATTAAGATGGGCAATCTTAACCATACCTTTGGAGATACATGTAACGTATCCATTTTCATTTACGAGAATATTTCCTGCGCTGTCTTTTTTTATAATTGTTATTTCTTTATTGTTTGCCACTTCTATTTTTCTTTCTCTGATTATTTCCTTCACATTTTTGGGTAATATATACGGTATGGAATGCCAGACGGAGGCGAAAAGAATATTGTGCAAAAGTCCGATTTATCAAAGTGTCTTTTATTCGTGATTTAAGAACACGTCTGTACACGTCAGTGTCCGTCAGTCGAATCTCCTATCCGTTATTCCGTATCAGCTCTTTTCCTTATTCTTTTCTCCTTCGAGATTATTCTTAAATAACAAATATCTTAATTCTTAAATAACAATTATTAAATAACATTATTCTTAAATAATAAATATCTTAATTCTTACAAATACAATTTCAAGATACAATTTCTTACAAGAAGGAGAACCTGTGTGCTATTGTTTGTCCCTTGTCTATTGTCTTGATCGTTAAACAATTTTTCGAATTATGTTTTTCAATCTGCAGGAATTCGGTATTATAAAGACTTGAAAATAATGATCATGGAACATATATCTAGTTCAATCGAACAATATAAAAAGAAATTATTACAAGAGAATATAGAAAATAAATATATTCTGTTGAGTTGATATCGGATATGAATACATGCAATGTCTTCGTATTTGCGTGTATTTAATGCGATTCTCTGAGAATAGATAATTCGGCAAAATCCAAATATTGCCGAAAAAATATGGCCGTGAGAGTCATGACGATATAATCGCCATAACATAAATCAAATTTTAATATAATATAAAATCTTTGTAATAAGAAAAAATAACTTCAAAAAAATTTCAAGCATTTGTAAAACATTAAACAGTAAGTATAAATTTAAAAATAGATATGTAATATTTATATATAATATTATTAATTATTATTAGCATCCATTTACTAATCTACAATTTTTCTACAAATTTAATATTTAATGAATACTATTTTCTAAACAGTAAATACCGATAATTTTAACTGCATATCTCAAGTACTATGTATCAAATATATAAATATCAATGAATACTGAAATTGATATTCTAAGAAAGTTTCTTTCATACTTGATTAATATCTTATAATGTTTAAAATTACCACTATTGATTGAATTCATTTGCCCTGTACTGCTTGTATTAACTCTAAATCCAGTGCAGCCAGTTCAGTGAATTCGTGTACTGTGTGAAGTTCTGTTGCACTGGAATAACGAATAGTATTGTTGACGTCATTTCGGAAATAGAAATGTTTTAATGTACACTTCTTAATGTATACTTCTTGCACATGTTCAAGAAGTTCAGGAATAAAAAATAAATCTGAAATGATACACTGTTCGACTATCAGAAATCACTAGATTACTAGAACTAGTTGCGCCGCAAGAAAACCGAGCCTTAATTTTTAGCTTGTATCTAAAAAATATGTACATAATGCATGTATAGGTCATTATATACCTTAACACGATCATGAACAGTATTGAAGAGATTACATCTTCTAATGGCATTTAACACTGGATCATTCCAATCATCAATAACATTATGTGTTGTAATAGGTGGTAATCCATTCCTTTGAAGAGCATATAAACATCTGCAAAACAAAATAGAATATTAGTAAACTAAGGTTGATCACAAAATATTATTTTATCTATTTCTGATAAACCGTTTTATTTTAATAGTGTCTTCTTTTTGTAATAAATCTTGAGCTTCAGGCATACGACCAGAGAGACATAATTCATACATCCGTTTCCCTATTTTTTGTTGTATATCATTAATAGTGTCTCGTAAAGATTTTGTTACCTGGTAATAGTAATAATTTCAAAACATTGATAATTGTCATTTCAAATATTTCAAGTAAAATAATATTATATAAGAGAATATCAACAACTCACAGCATGCCCACGAAGAGATTCAACATTAAAGTTATTAGTTTTTGCAGGAAAAATAAGAAAAGCAACCACTGTTAAGTCAGGCCTGGATGTTTTTAGATAATGATTTAATCTGGCCAGAGCTTCTATAAATATATCAGCTCCTTTATTTCCAAATTCATATCGACCAGCCGTGAAAAAATATAATGTTTTGTCTAAATCAAAATCATAATGACTGCAAACATATTAAAATTTAAATATAAAAAATATTTACAAAAAAGAATATATATTATTTAATACAAACCCATAAAAATGTCCTCGCACAAATTCATGTATTTTTTCTTTACTGATAGCATGTAAATTCTGGAATTCATGCAATGCTGCAAACTTCTTTACATTTAATCCATTTGGTGTGATAATATTAGGTTTGCGTTTCAGCAAATGTTCAGCTTCAAAACCAGTAATATCCGAAACTGTTGTAAAAACATGTGCTAGATGTGTAGCCGCACGTTCCATACAATATCTATGATATATTTGACGCTTTCCCGCTTCTTCATCAACACTAAACTATAAAAATATATAACATATTAGTGAATATACAATTCTTCTCCCCTCTTCTCTCTTTAGCCCCTCTCATCGAGAGGATCACTCTGCTATTCAACATATATAACCAAGAGAAAAAATTGATCCTCATAAAAAAAATAAATTAAAAAGTATAAAAACCTTTCATGAATATTTTATTTTCAATAAAAATTAGTTTATATCATAACGGTCAGGCCTCGCAGGTCACATACACAAGGTCGGCGCATTCGCATCACAACGCGGATAAACATATGTAATTAACAGGTTACGTTACGAATACGTGCCACGGATTCCGCCGGCCCCCACTCCGGTACCCAGCCTGATAAAAGGAGTCATCGGCTGGGTATATAAGCCGATTCGTCAGACGAGTTGGCACCAATTTTCGGTCTCGGATCCTCGGGACAGGAGCTTCCGAATTTTTATGTTTTCATCATGATAAAGGCTAAAGAAGTTAAGATAATATTTAACGAGAGATTTACTTTCGAAGAACGCGTTTATTGCTCACTCAGCTTATTTTACACACACACGCACGCACGCACGCACGCACACATACACGTTGCTGCGAGGAAATACGTCGAATTATATCCAAACCGAGCAAGACATCCAAGACCTAGTGTTATACTTGAAGCGGCTCAATGATTATATGAAACCGAAAGCATGTTATCAAAAAGAAAGGACACTGGCAGACATCGTGTTGCAAGAAATTTACGAAACGTGAAAAAAATCCTTCGTGCTGTTGAGCAAGAACCTGAAACTAGTATTCGGGACATTGCTCGAGAGCACGAATTATCTTATTCCACCGTCCAAAGAATACTCAAAAAAAAAATTACATGCCTATCATTATACTCGCGTGCAACATTTGCGACAAGAAGACTATCCTCGGAGAAAGAGATTCTGCGAGAATTTCCTAAGAAGAGTAGACGAAGATCGAGAATTTCCTTCTCGTGTAATATTCAGTGATGAATCGCTGTTCACACGAAAAGGAATTTTAAATTCGCATAATATGCATATGTGGGACGAGAATCCTCGAGCGATACGACTCAGAAATTATCAAGTTCGTTGGAAACTAAACGTCTGGGCTGGGATTATGGGTACAAAAATATTGGCTCCAGTTATTCTTCCAGAAAAATTAAATAGCGCATCATATTTGGAATTTTTATCAGAAAATCTTTTTGGAAGAGATACCATTATTAAACAGAAATAAAATTATATTTCAACAGGACGGTGCTGGTCCACATAACGCCAGAATAGTCACAGACTTTTTAAATCAGCAATTTCCTGGTCGTTGGATGGGCCGGTATGGACCGATACGTTGGCCTGCAAGATCCCCAGACCTCAATCTATTAGATTTTTTCTTGTGGAGATACTGCAAGGAAATTATTTACAGACAGCTTCCCGAGAATGTCGAAGAACTAAATAACAAACTTCACCATGCCATTTGGTCAATCGACAACGAAGTTATGGAGAAAACCCAAGAAAATTTACTGAAACGCATGAGAGTTTGCATCAGAATGGACGGCGGACATTTCGAACATTTATTATGAAAAGAAAAGTCTTCTACAATAATTTATCTGCCCTTTTCAGGGCAACGAAATATTTTATTTCGAGGGACATTCTCTTCGAGTTCATAAATTATTAAAAAAAAAATCAACAAAAAATCAAATCAATTATGTTCGACAGGTGGACATTACCTGCCGATATTATCTATCGAACTTATCTATTATTACTTGGTATTACGAAGCGTTCGAAGCGTTTCACTATCAGTCATTAACGCGCTGCATCATGATAATAGGCTGACTTATCGATCTGATTTACATTATTACATTAGGTCGATAAGTTAGAGCGTTATTATCACTTGGCGAATTAATGCACTTTACTACATTAAGAACATAATCTGTCTGATTGTTGTCATCGAGCTGAGTTCGCGACGGATTACGTGCGCTGTGTATATAACGCGTTTTGTGTAATAATTTTCAATTGGCGGGATAATTAACCAGTGGTGATTAATAGTAGTGACCCGATAGATTTGTTCATAAATGATTTTATCGATCAAGTGCGTGAGTAAATCCGTGAACATGTTGACAATTTATAAAAGAGAACTTCTGATAGATTACTGTGATTACATGTAATGTGTATTTCTTTCTTTCTAGTCATTTTTAATCACCGAATAATTAATCGATAGTGATTGATAATAACAAACTAAATTCGTTCGTAAATAAGTCATTCTATCGATCAAGTGTGTGTGAGTATCAAGTGAGATCAAGTGAAAGACTGTGAAAGCATTGATACGTGTTTACGCGATACAATTTATTAAAGAAAATAGTTCCTGGCTTATTACTCTCTATCCGTGTGTGTGTGTGTGTGTGTGTGTGTGTGTGTGTGTGTGTGTGTGTGTGTGTGTGCGTGCGTGCGTGCGTGCGTGCGTGGTGCGTGCGTGCGCG